TCCAAATTTCACTTAAATACGTTGAATATGCATCATTTCGATCAGTAGGAAGCTCAACTGACCCACTTGCTAATGTTCCTTGGAAGTGGGTTCGTGCAGGAGTAATTACGCGCGGGAGTAAACAGTTGGGAAGGTCTTGACCCGTTTGCCCTCCAATGCCTTTATCATTATTCTTCGAGTACATTTAGTAAATTTAGGTAATAGTTAGGTGTCTCGTGTTATTTTCTCATTATCTTCATTCTCTACGCTTTCAAGTTTAGTTGTCCAGTGCCCAATATATCGCAATTTTAATGCAGTTGAAATCCCACTCACAACTTCCCCCTATCCCACTCCCCATTTTGCTTTCAAGGAATCGGCTGAGGAGTAATTGAGTAAAGCGGCAGCCTTCTTACTCCGTCAACTCCATGCTGTACCTAATTTGCTATAATTGCATTTCATTTAAATTGGTCGTTGTATTCGAGCATCGTTGCGTGACAAACGAAAATGGCGTCGGTCAGTGCATACTACAATATTGGAGATATGAATTTAATCTTCTCCTACACTCGTTAGAGATCTTTTTGATAAAATCCGTATCTCCGCGCGTCCATGTAATATCCTCTATTTATTACATGRTTTTAAGGCTATAAACACAGTGTAAAAGAGACTACTAAAAGGGTTTATTGTTGTTACAATTAGTTCTATYCTGAGACACCGTTACATATTATATTCCTGTGAAGTTCACCCAAATATCATTTCCTCCTTCTACATGGGCTTCCTGTGTGAAAGATTCCGTGACCGTAACTCAAGCGGTAATTTCTCAGTAGAGTGCACTCAAACGGCAAACGGCTACAACATGGCATCGTTCATAGCACTTCTGACCATTTTYCTCTTCTTTATYACTACACCAACGAAGGCTGCAAAGATTGTAGGATTACCTATGTTTGGTGGGAGTCAGTACATAGGGATGAAGCGAATTGCACAAGAACTCGTGACGCGTGGCCAYCAAGTAAGTTTTATATGCATAAAGTAATCTTCTAAAGGTCTTGCATCATAATAAAATGCCGAAATTTCCATTCAATCCTAGGTCAATTCGTACAGCAAATATGGCATCAGTTAGCTTATAATAGTTACAGTCAATCCCATAACGTTCTGTTAGGTTGCAAAGACAACAAGAAAGTCATTTCTAAATTCATCTGTTTGTCACCCAACTGCAGGGTTTCGTTTCTAAGGTCATTTTGTACCGAGCGTGAATCTCTACATCAAACCATTGAMCAACCGATTTTATTCTAAAACTACCGGTGAAAATGTCCCATGCATACATAAGGGAATTGTAACGGTTTTAAACGATGTTGTAGTGTCTGTATTTTTAGTCGTGTTTCGTGTCTCTGCTAAACTCTCTTTTWGTTTGGCCACTTCAAACAATYACGTGTTTTGCTATATTGCGCATGCATTAGTTAACGTGTATTTCGTATCTTAACAATTTTAAGGTATTATATATGATTATTKATGATAATTATCGCAGTTATCGGCTTTCCAAATTTTCTCTCTGAAATTATGGTATAGAAATTAAATAATTTTTTTTCAAAAACCTACAAGACCGCAACAGGTCACGCACTTTTCCTGTTGTCATTTCCGTAAAAAAAAACAGACAATTTTTTTTTCGAATTCTCTCTTAAAAATTCCAAAACGAATTCCCCCTATACTGTAAACTGGACTCCGTTGCATGGACTGCGGGAGCAAAAGGGTGCCAATGAGGTATGACAACACACAAGCAACCTGGCCGGAACGACGAATAAATAGTAACCAAACCACATGGTGACAGTTCCACCCCCCCCCCCCCCCCCCCTCCCCCTTGGTGGTTTCGCGTCCATGCGTTGCCCTAATGCTTTACAATTGTCAGTCTCTAAGTAGACGAAGCTTGGGTAAACACAGTTAATAAATGACTGTCTGTTATTCTCGCGTGATTGAAACCCAAAGATGGTTATCAATTTCTAGCGCCGCAATTTTAAATTTGCATCGGACTGTTTCTTGAGTTACCTATCCCAAACCCCCTGCARTTGATCCCAGCGCACATCAAATGTTGYAAAGGTCTGACGCACCTTCCCTCTCCTGTCTTCACAGGTCACAATACTTGTCAGCAGCATTCAAACTATCAAGCCAACTCAAGGAATAAYACATGCCGTCTACAAAGTCCCTTATGAAAAGGAAGTTGTCGAGAAATTTGTCTCCTCGCAAATTGAGGAAGGAGTGTTTACGCAAACACTTTTTGGCAATATAACTATGCCACAACTCCAAGCTTCATTTTGCGATGCTCTTATCAGCAACAAACAGCTTATTGAACCACTCAAAGATTTTGACCTTCTGGTAACGGATTCGTCCATGGCTTGTGGTCACGTCCTTTCGGACTATTTAGAGATTAAAAGAGTCGACTATTGTCCCGTTTCACCAAGATTCATGAACGCGTATAACCCATACGAAACGTTTTTCCAGGCGTCATATGTTCCAAGAGTAATGTCTTTTAACCCTGGAAAAATGAACTTCTTGCAACGAGTGAAAAATACATTAMTTGCTATGGCAACTGCAACTATGTTTTCTGTCATTATGGCCAGGCCATTAGAGAGTGTTAAAGTTAAATACAAAATCAAGCCAGATAGAAGATTGTTTGATTCAGAGAAGGACAGTCAACTAGTTTTGTTTTTGTCTGACTTTGCTCTTGAGTATACATATCCCATTCCACCACGTAAGTACATAGATTGATCACTCACTGATGATTCATATTCCCATTTCCCAGTCATTCATTCAACCAGTCCTTCACCCGGGACCATGGTTACGCTATTTTGACAAACAAAGTTTCACTTGTTACACGTACCCTGGTATGCAGGGGACGTGTAGTAAAATGCTGCTACTTTCTTGTTTTGTTTTTTTTTCTAAATGGAGCCAATCTTTACCACCAACTCAATTCAACCAGTCATTAACAGGGGACCATGGTTACACTATTTTGACAAACAACCTTGCATAATAAAGGCTAAATGGATCCAATGTTCACCACAGACTACCTTACAGTACAAATCAGTTGTTATTGCCTTTCAATTAGTATAACCGTTGGCTACTTTCGGTCGTGCAATCAACGTTCGACAGTTTGACATTCGCCATTTCATCCAACGACAACCTTTTTGGCGGAAATTCACAACTTTCCATACGCAGGCTCAGTGACCACGAACAAAGTATTGAACCGAGGAGTCGGCAAGGAACACGGATCACAGATCTTTTATGCTCAGTGTACTTTGACGCCTCGGTTCAATGCTTTGTTTGTAGTCAATTGAACCTGCGTATGGAAAGTCGTGAATTTCAAAAAAGTTTGTCATTGGATGAAATGTCGAATGTCAAACTGTCGAACGTCGATTGCACCACCGAAARTTGTGAATAGGTATACATTATAAGCCGTAAGGACTTTGATCGTTTGACTTTGACTTATCTTTTATTCAGACTATAAAATGATTGGCCCAGTGAACATCCAGCCAGCCAAACCCCTCCCCCCTGACCTGCAGCAGTTGGTTGACAAATCCGGTGATGATGGAAGCATTATCGTGTCATTTGGATCCAATATGGCCGGTTCTATGGCAAAAGACAAGGTCGATATCATGGCAGAGGCTTTTGGTAGATTGAAACAGCTGGTGATTTGGAGGATTAAGGGTAAGATACTTATCCAGCTTGTATGGACATTCACATGAAATAATGTATACAACTTTTCCATTACGCTTCTCCTTGAAGTTTTCCTGTCATTGTGCCAGTGCAATATATTATATTATATTGTATTAAACAGAGAAAATGCGTTGATAATACACTACTGTTAGAACAAAGTTGTGTAAAAAGATAAATTAAAGTAAGTTACTTCACCTACTTTTTTACGGTGTTTATCTTTTTACACAACTGTTTCTTTAGAAACACCGACGCAGCTCACACTAGTTTACCTCTATAGTTCCCACCATTTTTACTGTTAGAAAAAAGACTGTGCTTTGGAGAGATTAAATACAATGATTTCATTGAGTATAGCAAACAACCATCCAAAACAGACCCAACGTTGATGAACTGTGAAAAAATGAAGAAAATTGTTAGGCTGGAGACAAATAATTCTATGGTTCCAGTTTTTTTGGCAACGATTGAAGTTTCTATCAGATGAGAGACTCGAATAAATTAAAATTTCATTAACATATCTAAAATATTAACCTGAAGAAATGAAGAAATCCTTTTTTACGTATTTCAGGATATATCCCATCGTCTCTCAGCCCCAACATCAAACCTGTTTCCTGGTTACCGCAAAATGACTTGTTGTCCCATAAAAACCTACGTTTGTTCGTGAGCCACGTGGGGCAAAATAGTCTTTACGAGGCTGCGTATCGTGGTGTTCCTTTGGTCGCCATTCCATTATTTGCGGATCAGTTTGACAACGCTTTATTGATGGAAAGTCGAAAGATTGGCCTTTCTCTTGATTACTACAAGCTAACCGCTGATCAACTACATAGTACTATTGAACATGTTATCAAGGAACCAAGGTATATTGCCCATGATTCTTCATCAAACCCATTCAGCGTTTTTATATTCATAATGTCTTTTTTTTTTCATATTCTTTAGTTACCGTCAAAATGTTCAGCGCATTTCACGCCTGATGCAAGACCGTCCACGTAGCCCGGTCCAGGAGGCTGGTGACTGGATAGAGTACGCCCTTAGACACGACAGTCTTGCACATCTTCGTCCGTACTCTGGTCAACTTTCCTGGTACCAGTATTTCCTGGTAGATGTAGCAGTGTTCCTGGTCTTGGTAGTTTTGGTGGTCATTATGGTGATAAAGTACACAGTTCGATTAATGTGTTGGATGTGCTGCCGACGAGACAAGAAACAGAAAACTCAATAAAAAAGAAATTTGACAAGAACAAGGTTTTACAATGTGCTGAAAAATTAAAAAATTCCAGCCAAAAAAGAGATTCTGTTCGATTTCTAACGAAAAAAGTCTTCCTCGAAGAAATGTTCGAGTGTTCTTGATATTCAAACTAAACTTATCCTCTGAACAACATTGAAATGAAGGGGTCAGAGGCAATCAAATACGGTTGTCAAAAAGTGGTTCTTGTACCCTCTCACCTTCGAAGCCAAATTGATTTAGAAAAACTTAGAAAGATAGAATCTCAACATTGCAATATGCGGAAATTCGTTTAGACTTTGCTTTAATCAGATGAGGAAATTAGTGTTCTCGTTTCTCTATGATTGTGTAAAATGTCCAGAACAATATATTTAATATGTGAAGTTGATATAATTCTATGACGTCACATCCATATCATGTGACGTCATACTGAGAAGTTTGGGTGACGGCGAATCCTGGATACACCGCATGTTGTTCCACTGCCATACTTGTAACTAAAATCGCTTCGAAACGAGAAATCATTTAAGGAAACAATAGATAAGTTTTGTTTTCGATGTCTTTTCCACTGTGTTAGCCTTAATTGTGTGTAAAATACGCAATAAAACTCGAGGAAGTTCGAACTATCCCCGGTGCACCTTTAAGCCAAAAATGTCTTTGGGTAGACATATTTACATGGGTATCCTGTGCACGATTCCGTGACCGTAGCTCGAGCGGTAATTTCTCAGTAGATGCACTCAGACCAATAGCCAAACTGCTAAACGATGGCACCGTTAATATTTTTTGCAATTTTTGTCTTCTTTATTACTACACCAACGAAGTCGGCAAAGATTGTAGGATTTCCTATGTTTGGTGGGAGTCAGTACATTGGGATGAAGGGAATTGCACAAGAACTTGTGACCCGTGGACATCAAGTAAGTTTGTTTTTGCATAAGGTGTAATGTTTTAACCTCTTCTTAAGGTTATGCATATCATGACAGAATGCTGAAATTTCGATTGAATACGTTGTCAGTTCTAACAGCAAATTTGGCATCAATTAGCTTAGAATAGTTATTAGTCGGACTAGCCGAAGGCGGTCCGACTTTAAATTTACCTTTTAGCCTATCAATCTATCTATCTGTCTATGTGTCATGTCGCGTTTGGAACACCGGAAGTTAAGAATTTAATAATTAACTATTGGGTTGGCTGTGTTATTACATGACCGGAAGCTCAAGCGTATTGATGTACGAATATCGTTAGTAAATGTTATATGCTACTTGGCTTTTATATGACAAAAAAACTATTCGTTTACAAATGTGGTATCTGTGATCTCATCGGAATGCGTCTGTCTAGGCATTAGAAGTACGCGCATGTGCAGATCGCATAGAGTTTCGAGTTGTATGCTTACAAAACTGAATCAATATCCTTTCTAGTGTTAGACAGTCTTGTGGGGGCAAAGATTTCAAATTAGAACAAGAAGAAACTTTGTTTATCAATAACAGAAAGGCGAATTTTATAGGAATCTTTCTCCTTGTAAAGTTTTTATTTTCTTTGCCTGAGAGGTCAACGTTTTAGATATCATATATCACTTAGCGAGACATTTGTCTGAGTAGTTGATTTTATCAGTCAAAGCAAGCCACTTTCTTATCGCCGCTTTAATTACATGACCTTTTAGGTCAAGTTTATTAAAAGTCTCAATAAATTTTGCATATTTTGAACTAGACGCTCTTATTAGACCTTATTAGACCGTGAGTTCGGCTGTTTTGGAAAAAAAAGAAAATATTTTTATCCATGTAATATCCTGTCTTTCTCAATTTTCACAAGCAGCTAGTCCGACTTCACGCTCCCAGAGCGTCTAGTCTATTTATAAATCATCTGTTTGTTACCTAGCTGTGTTCCGTGCTAGAGTTATTTTCATGAGCTTGTCGAGCGTGAATCTCGCAGAATTAACAAACCACAATTCAACGTTTAAATATAATCTCTCTATCAAAACATGATGACTGATTAGAACATTCACTATGATGCATATCATGAGGGGTTTCAACGATGTATGTTGTACTGTCTGTTTTCAATCGTGCTTCGTGTCTTAATGGAAAACTCTCATTGCAAATTTGTATGTGTAATGTGTTTGGCCCCTTCAAAAAATCACGTGTTGGCTAAATTGGGCACGACGTCTTAGTACACTTGAGGGGTGCATTAGCAATTATCCACTATCAATTTTAATTTTAACTGTTCGCTATCAATTTAAAGCTATTCTATATATAGTTGATAATAGCATCGGTTTTCCAAATATTCTTTCTGCAATAGACTTAGAACAAGTTTGAAAGGTTCAAGACGGTGCGCACTTTAACCCTTGTCATGCTCGTACGCCTGGTCCATAGACAATTAACGTTTTTCGAATTCTCTCTTGAAAATTCAAACCTTAAATCAAACCCCTCCAATGGCTTCAACGGAACTCCGTTCCCTAGCGCTTTTTAATTGATCTGTCTCCTAACACTAAAGAGGCAAACTTACGTAAACACCGGCGTTGATAATCCTTGGCTAGTCTCGTGATTGACGTACGTACTGGAAACAAATTTGTAGTGCCGCAAAACTAAGGTCTTAAGAGACTTTTCCTCAACCCCCAGGCGCCAATTCCACACAATCAAATGTTGCAAAGGACTGAGACTAGACTTCTTCCTCATCTTCCTTCTCCTGTCTTCACAGGTCACAATACTTGTCAGCAGCATTCAGACTATCAAACCAAGTCAAGGAATAACACATGCCGTCTACAAAGTCCCTTTTGAAAAGGAACTTATCGAGAAATTTTTCTTCTTGCAAATGGATGAAGGAATGTTTATGCATACACTCTTTGGCAATATAACTTTTCCAGAACTGCAAGCATCATTTTGCGAAGCTCTTATCAGCAACAAACAGCTTATTGAGCCGCTCAAAGATTTTGATCTTCTGGTAACGGATTCGTCCATGGTTTGTGGTCACTTTTTAGGGATTAAAAGAGTCGAGTATTGTCCCGTTTCACCAAGATTCATGAACGCGTATAACCCATACGAAACGTTTTTCCAGGCGTCATATGTTCCAAGAGTAATGTCTTTTAACCCTGGAAAAATGAACTTCTTGCAACGAGTGAAAAATACATTAATTGCTATGGCAACTGCAACTATGTTTTCAGTCATTATGGCCAGGCCATTAGAGAGTGTTAAAGCTAAGTACAACATCAAGCCAGATAGAAGATTGTTTGATTCAGAGAAGGACAGTCAACTAGTTTTGTTTTTGTCTGACTTTGCTCTTGAGTATACATATCC